GTTGTTGTGAATATATGATTTTTCACCTACACTTCCTTCTCCTACCTTAACAACCAGCCATTCAGATTCAATAATTCAGGCAACAAATCCAGCTTATACAAGGTAAATGGATAACATATTGGGAATGGGAGAGCACTGTTTACAGCTACCAAATAGAAGCCGATGGAATGAAGTATTTAAACTCTTATGTGTTACAGATGGTCTTTCATATTTTACTCTTATGGGGACGTGATTTCATTGGAAATATATGCAAGTCAGTGTTATAATGTGCTATGTTAAAACTGGTTCTGCTGTATGTCTTATGAATTTGGGGTCTTTCTTACCCCAAGGGGCTGGATGTAGAGAAGATGACTTGGAAAAGCAGAGAAGTAGCTCTTCCCAACAGGAGCAAATCTCAAACTGCCTGCCCTGCTACCTCCCATGGCAGTTTCTAAGTTTCCCAGAGAGCATGTGTGTGACAGTGTATGTGTGTGTGTGCATGTGTGTGTGTGTGTGTGTGTGAGAGAGAGAGAGAGAGAGAGAGAGAGAGAGAGAGAAGCTGCACATGTCCATAAAGTGGTATGTTGCAGTAATGGGTGATGGGTATGTGTGAGAAACTGTGAGAAGAAGGGGCAAATGGGATCATACTCAAAGGGCTGTCTGAGGCTCTGAAGCCAGTCCTGTGGCTTAAGTTCAAGGGCAGGGACATGGTCACATGTAGGGCGGCCACCTGCAAATCTGTCACATCTGGGAAAAGGGGAAAAGGAAACAAAAATAAACAAAATGGCTATGAATGCTTGTGGTCCTATTGTACTTGCCTTTCTCACCCCCTAGCAAAGTCCAACCCTCCTCAAAAACTCAGAAAGGGGACAGGTATTTGTATACACAAGGAGTGCAATGCGCACTACCCGAAGGATGGACATATTTGAAACACGGACTTCGGTGGGGGGGGGGGGAACCAAGGGCAACACACGTAACCTAAACATATGTACACCCATAATTTGCTGAAATAAATAAAACAAAAAAAACAAATATGAAACCTAAAAAAAAAAAAAAAAAAACTCAGAAACTATAGGTCTGGAATAACTCTAAGGTATTCAGAAAAAGAAAGTCATGGCCTTTTAGAATAATGCAAGGAGTGGGTGTGCAAGTATGTGTGTATAGTGTGGGGGGAGGTATGTCTATAGGGGGTCCTGAGAGTCCTAAACTCTATTACCTAGAAGGCACAAGGAGCAGAAGTCCTGCACCCACCACTAAATGTGAGTGTGGGCCCAGCAGTCCGTAAATCTCCAGCTGGCAGAATGACAGGCACAATATACACAGATGCCTACATTGCTGCAAACCTCTCAGATTCTCAAATAGCTGAGTAACCTGTGTTTCCTTCTTTTTCTGACTGTGAAAATTTAATTATTTCCATGTTTGAGAGAATATTTAAAATTTGGGGGTGGGGGTCCCAAGACCACAGAGCAACTGCCTTGCACATTATTTTGCCCACAGTCTACAAGAAAAAGTAAAAGCAGATACATAGGCCACTTGAAGCCCTTGCAGAGTTAGGTTCTTGTAAAAAGCAAATCTCAGCATTCACTGCCATTGACCTTTTATGCTCAATCAGCATGGATCTGTGTCTCCCGGTTTATGGCAAAAATTTGAACTGATGATTTAAGTATGGAGGCTCCAAAGACAGAGAGTACCAAAGGATGATGCCACCCAGCTTTTACCTTAGTTGTTTCATAAGCCACTGATTCAGGTCCCTTCTTTCAATCCTAACCCCTCCTAAGCTATATTGTTAAATTGTAAAATGGACCTTCTCTGATCTTGTCTATTTCCAGTATGGTGAAATAGTTTTTGGCTGTGTCTACCCAGGAAAAGTGAAGGGGAGAGTTGAAAGCATTAAAGACAGTGGTCAGAAATGATCAGAAACCCCAGCCCATGTGGCATCTCCCAAAAAATGTGGCCACATTTAGAGCCAGTCCCAGCTGTGTAGACCAAGTTCAAGTCATTTTGGTTTAGTCAGGCTCCTTTCTCTTCTGCTAGGGCCTCAGCCCTGGTAGCTAACAGGCCCTGGGAGCCCTGCCTGTTAGCCTCCTTGCCGGTCTCGATAGCTCTAGGCCAGTTCACTTCGCCACAGCCCGGGGCAGCTCGGAAAGCAAAGATTAAAGGGGAAAGTCGCAGCTGTATAGTTATATTTTCATTGCTAGAAGGGAATTGATTTCCTTGCATTTATTTTGGTAGTTGTAATACACAAGGGCGGATTTGCGTCACCCGAGCAACTTGCCGGTGGAGATAAAGTTGCACAAATATTGAAAGGGGAAGTGCTAGGAGTCATTATAGAGTTTTTCTCCGGAAGAAATAAGGATTTCTGCAGTATCCTAAAATACTAAGGCCACTTCTATTTTGAGACCAATCTCACAGGCACATCCGCTCATTTAGTCGGAGTTTGAGTCCATCAAAAAACAGGAGATGACCTGAACTCCGGGGAGCCCAGGGTTTCCTGCTGCTTTCTTGGTTCTGAGGGGTGGGGAGTAAGGAGGAGGGGAGTCTGCGGGCTCAAAACTCGGCGAGAGGCCTGCAGGGGCGAGGCCTGGGCCTGCGGAAGGGGTGTAGGGGGAGGTGAGGGTCGCCCCAAAGCCTTCCTTTTCGAGTTTGCCTGGGGTAGGCCCTGGATGGCGCTGATGTGGTTGCCTGGGATTGCAGAGGGGCGTGCGGGCGAAGTTCCAACTTGCAATCCAGCGGCGAGCCTTGCAGAGGCAGGGAGGCGCGCGTTGGGGCAGGAGTCAGCGGAAAAGCCACCCTCCGGGCCTCGCCTTCGCCGCATGTACCCGGCGCTCCAGGCCTTGAAGCCCGGAGGATTTGGGTCTTGGTCGCCCCGGGAAGCCCGGAGTGTTTGTGTCTCCCCGAGTCAACACCCCGTGCCCACCCGCACCCACCCGGCCCCGGAGGGTCCCAAACCCTGGAATGGGCGAAAGGGGGTGGGGAGTCTTATTTCTAGGGAAGGGTATGAAATCGCGCAGGGCCGTCTAGAGTGAGACGTAATGCATCTCTTTCAGAATGGTGAGTTTGGGCTTAGTCTGAGGTCTGAATGTTCGCAGTCAAAGTGGAACCACAACCGAATTGGGAGTGTCACTAGAAAAGAGAGGAAAGGGCTCATGGCCACCCCTACACACACTTGAGCCAGCAACCTCACCTGGAGGCTGTGAAGTCACAGAGAAGCTGCCTTCCTACAGGAGTCTTGTCAGAGCCCTCTGGCAGCGCCTCCCGTGGCCTTGTACTTGTCGCTCCTTCGCCTCCAGCTAGATGCAGAAGGACTGGTCTTTCTCCTGCCTCTCTCGCCCCAGGCGCCCCTGCCCTCAGCCAACCACACCCATCCACCTCCTTGGAAATAGCACCTCTGTCCCGGCTTGGAGGAGCAGGGCAAGAAAACTTTTTAGTAAAAGAGAGAGATGGGGGTGGAGAGAAGAAGGGAGCAGGAGAGAGACAGGGACAGATCTCAGTGCTAGTTGATCCCAAGTGACTGATTGCTTTGCTGGAGAAAGTCAAAAGTTTAAAATGACAGCATCTGCAACAAGACGCTAGAAGCTACTAGAAATTAACTTAATGAGCCCAAATCCTGGACTCGAGATAGACATGGCGAGTTCAGTTGCCTTCTGTGTTTATTTGGTAAGACCTCTTAGTGCCAAAGGGAAATAAAAATGCTACAGGAGCTCTGTTAGGAGATGCTCATTCGAACAATCGAAAACAAAAGATTTAGTGGTTTTATTATTGTTTTTATTTTATTTTCTTCCTGAAAACGTGCAAGAACAGCTCATCTGGGTGGCCTGTGGTTTGTTTGAGAGGCGGGTGGGGAAATCCATTCTGATTATAATTTAATTGAGAACGAATTCTTAAAATAGAGATGTTAATGTTGCAGAAAACACCCCACTACACCCACCCTGCGTTCTAAAGACCCAAGGCGCGAACCGAGGACTTTGGCAACCACTGCCGCTCCTCCTGTGGCCAGGCCCAAGGGGTTCCTGAGGAAACTGAAAGTAGTATTGAACCCCACGGAAATCTGCTCTTGTGGGCACTTGCAAAACAACGGCCCCCACGTGATCCGGGACGTGGCGGAGGAGGGAGGCTGACATTTCCTACCAGGTACAGCAGAGGAGGGAAGCGTGCTGCTCTCCTGGGCTTCGGGAGGCAGCCCGTTGTGTTGCCGCTCAGGCTCCGGGAACGTTTGGCTGCGTCTAAGGGAGACGTCGGAGTCATCCATCTCATTTTGTTTGCAAAGTCACTCCTTCAAGTTGTCACTGTGCGACAGCTCAGAGTAAAACTAGTTTGCGGCCGCCCGTCCTCCTCACTTCCCCGAGGATCTCCCGCAAGGCGGCGGGCGGACGCGGTGCAGAGCTGGGCCGGGACTCCGGGCGTCAGGTCCCGGCAGGGGCCCAGGAACTATGGGGCTTTGTCGAGGACACGGACCCTGGGGTGAGCGCAGAGCGAGGTAAAGAGGTGCAGAGCCAGGGGCCGCCAGCGCTGCGCCGTCCCCTGGGAGGCGACTCTGCCCGGCGGCCGGCCAAGCGCAGGACGTCCTCCCCCCGCTCTCGGCCCCCGCCCCCAGCCCCGGGTGGTGAAAGCTCCAGGAACTCTTGGACCGACTCTCCGCGCCGGTGGCGGTTCGCAGCTGGAGCTGGACGAGAGTCCGCGCTCACCGAGGCTGCCGGCGCCCCTGCGCAGCGGAAAGGCGCGCCCGGCCCTGCGCAGCCCACGCGGCCGGGGCGAACACCTTGGCGTGGCCGGGGCGTGGCCTAGCGGGCGGGACACGCCCCTCTTTCTCAATTCCCCCGCACTCTCCGCTCCCATTGGCCACGAGGATGGCCAATGAGCGCTCAGATCGAGGCCCTACCCCGGGCCTGACTGGAAAGCTCCTGCCAAAACTTTGGGAGTTTTTAGAGAGCAGTTTTTTTTTCCGCATATTACTTTTTTTCAACTAACGGATTATTATTGTTGTTGTTTTAAATTTAGCTCTCAGGGCTTAGCTGTTTGGGTGTTTCTTTCGGTGTCCAGCCCCGATCTCCCCGGCGTCCCCGCGGCCCCCGCCCGCCCGGCCGCCCCGGCGCCCCTCGCCCCCTCAGCGCGCGGAGAGCGCGGGCCGCGCCGCGGGGAAAGCGCGGCGGGGACGGAGGCGGCGCCGGCCCGGCCCGGCCCTCGCTTCTCCCTCGGCGGCGCCAGGCTCCCCGGCCTCCCTTCCTCATTGCGAGCGAAGAAGCGAAAGCCGACGGTTCTCAGCGGGGGCCGCCTCCGGGCTCAGCCCGTCTCTCCCGCGCACCCGCCCCACAGTCCGGCCGGAGCGCGCGCCCCGCCGGGATGTTCGCAGCCGGGCTGGCTCCCTTCTACGCCTCCAACCTCAGCCTCTGGTCGGCCGCTTACTGCTCTTCGGCCGGCCCGGGCGGCTGCTCCTTCGCCTTGGATCCCGCTGCCGTCAAGAAGCCCTCCTTCTGCATCGCAGACATCCTGCACGCCGGCGTGGGGGAGCCAGGGGCGGCTCCGGAGGGCCTGGCGGGGGCCTCCGCCGCCGCGCTCACGGCGCACTTGGGCTCGGTTCACCCGCACGCCTCTTTCCAAGCTGCCGCCAGATCCCCGCTTCGGCCCACTCCAGTAGTGGCGCCCTCCGAAGTCCCGGCTGGCTTCCCGCAGCGGCTGTCTCCGCTCTCGGCCGCCTACCACCACCACCACCCACAGCAGCAGCAGCAGCAGCCCCATCAACAGCCCCCGCCTCCACCCCGGGCCGGCGCCCTGCAGCCTCCGGCTTCGGGGACGCGAGTGGTCCCGAACCCCCACCATGGCGGCTCGGCCCCGGCCCCCTCCAGCAAAGACCTCAAATTTGGAATCGACCGCATTTTATCTGCAGAATTTGACCCCAAAGTCAAGGAAGGCAACACGCTGAGAGGTAGGTCTTGGGCGGGAGGCTGCAGGCCTCTCTGACCACAGCCCTGACCCACTTCGCCGATCCCGGCGGGTGTCGGGTGCCTTTGAGTATTTTTACAAGTGAGGACAAATCTGTAAAACTGGTAAGAAGAAAACAAATTACAAGAAACTATGAAACTTTAGGTCTCAAAACACCTGCTCTACGTAAAAACAAACGACTCCAGGGATGCTTTAAAAACAAACGCTACAGGATCAATATTCGTAAAAATGATTGTAAATATTCGCTAAAATGACTATAATCTGTCTCTTTAATCACATATTTGCACAGAGAACTATATTTTCTGACAGGAAAAGCCCTTTTGGGAAAACTTTCCCCTGTATTTATCTGATTGCTAGCAAAATTTCATCCAAGAAACGTAGATAAAATTGCAGGTCTAAACTCCCAGAGGAGAGAGCAGAGTGGGGGCTCCTAGGGGTGCAGGTTTTGGGTCTGTGGAATTCTTGGAAGGCACCCTAAAGGGACGTTCTCAGGCCGTTTTATGTAAAGCCCTTCCTTGCTATACGCGTGGACGTGGCGTGAGAGACGCACAGGGGAACTTTTCGTGCATCGTCCTTGGCCACTGCTGGGAGAAGGGTTTCAGCGCAGAAACCGGGGTCTCTCCTGACTTCACTCGGTACGAACGAATTGAGGGCAAGGGGAGGAGGAGGAACAAATCCACCGAGAGAATGTGCGTTTACCCGAGGTGTAACCCGCTTTTCTTCTCCCTTGATCTCAGATCTCACGTCCCTGCTAACCGGTGGGCGGCCCTCGGGGGTCCACCTCCCGGGCCTGCAGCCCTCCGCCGACCAGTTCTTCGCGTCTCTGGATCCCATTAACGAGGCTTCTGCCATCCTGAGTCCCTTAAGCTCGAACCCGAGAAACTCAGTTCAGCATCAGTTCCAAGACACATTTCCAGGTACGGAAGCCTTTCGGAGTACCGCCCAACCCGCAGGTCGACTTTACAGTCAGATACGTCAAGACTGTCTCCTCAAGGGGCGGCGGCAGTGTAGCAGTCTCCCAGTTGGGGCGGGAGGCTACGAAGTCAGGAGAGAGAAACCGAAAGATTTCTCAGCAAACTAGTGCTGGCTTCCGATGGTTCCCCTGGAAAGGGATGGGGGCGCCTGCGGAGCCGGAAAGTGTGTGCGTGGGAGGATGGTGTGCTTTGCCTACCTTTTCACCAAGAGGGTGGTTTGAAAATGGGGCACCAAGAGGCGTTGCCTATTAACATACACACTTTTGGGGATGACCTCAAACGCTTGCGGGGTTAAGTCTGTGTGCATAGACACACACACACACACACTCGAGATTCAGGGCTGTCATCTGTAGATCATTCAGACCAGAGGGCCATTTTCGCCTTCTTTTCTCATGCCTAATTGTCACGCATTAGGTTTTTATTTTTCCTTTGAATTAGCCGACGGGCGACTCCACTCCACACTTTAAGCCTGCCCACTAAATCTTAGCTGTAAAATTCTTCCTTAGAGAGGCCATTCTTGTGTGCATGAAAGGCTTTCTGATGAGGGTGAAGCCAACTGTTATCACAAAGCAGTTTTAAGCAGCACAGCGGGCCCCAGGCGTGCAGGCCCGGACTGGGCTCTAACGCGGCCTTCTGGTCTCTCTTCCCTCTCTCTCCCCGTGGGCGGCAGGTCCCTATGCTGTGCTCACTAAGGACACCATGCCGCAGACATACAAGAGGAAGCGCTCATGGTCGCGCGCTGTCTTCTCCAACCTGCAGAGGAAAGGCCTGGAGAAAAGGTTTGAGATTCAGAAGTACGTGACCAAGCCGGACCGAAAGCAGCTGGCGGCGATGCTGGGCCTTACTGACGCACAGGTAAGCCAGCTCGCCCTCCAGCGCCGGGCGCCCTCGGGCAGGCAGCAGCGCTGGCCTCGCCCAGAAGGCTGCCTTCACACTCGCCACTGCCCACTTGCCTCCTGCGGTCGAAAGGCAATGTCTTGAATTTCACGAGGCTTCCTGGACTTCGCAACTTGAGGCAGTAGAAGAGGAGGGTGGCGATGGGGATGAGGGAGAAGGACAGAGAGAATAGCACATCCCTGGAGATATATGTAAACAAGCACTGCTTGTTTACTTTGGCGAACAGGCTGAAGAACCACCGAGAAAGCAAATAGGCCGCGGGAGAAAATAATTATGTACTCAACTGTAGCGCAATTTGCTGTAGGAGGCAGTTTATTTCAGAAAAGATAAAAAACCAAAGGCAAGAGATTGTTGTTGGGTTTTTTTCCTCCTTTCCTCCCTCCTCCTGCTGCTGCTGCTGGATTGTGAAATCCCCAGTTGTGAGGAAGTGAAAATATCATTTCAAATGAAATTTCTTAGCTCTAGTAGGGTGGGGAGTCCGCTTGGAGCGGCCACAGTCAGTATGATGTTCCAAAGCTTAGGCTCTGAAGAAAGTCTTCCAGAGGAGGGAGGGGGGCAGGGAAATAAAGAAAAAAAAAATTTCTTAGAATACCCAGGGCATTTCAGCAGGTTCTGCTTATTTGATTTTTTTTTTCAAGACGATAGGAAATCTATTGTGTCTGATTTTTTTCTTTTTCTTAAATTGAAGAACTACCCCCCCCCTTTAAGCTTTGACTGTAGAAGACTCCCCCCGATGTTCCACACCCCACAGCAGTGGCCCTTGCTACCTGGTGCTGACTGTCCCCAGTAGGGCAAAAGCCAGAGGCAGGCTTCTTGTTCTTAGCTCACTGGTCCTCTGATTGCTGTCTCTGCTGTCTTTCTGTCCTCCATTACACAACTCCCTTAAACACACACACACACACACACACACACACAAACACACACAAACAAAAGTGCGCGCGCAGAGGAGGAGCCCAGCCAGTTTCTACCAGCTGTGGATGTTATTTTTAAAAGGGAAGCTGAAACTTGTGTGAGTGTGTTGGGTCTCCTAGGGGATCATATATATTTATATAGATTCTCTGCCCCATCTCTACCTCTTTCCTCTATTTTGCACCCATTTAATTCCAGCATTTTCAGAACCTCCAGGAGAATTAGTTTACCACTGGCAGGGGCAGGGTCCTTATCAGCTCCTGAGTACAAACATGCCAAGGAAATGTTCTTCTACTGAAGAAAGTCCAGCAATACCTCCACTCCTAAGGGATTAACTTTGAGCCCCTTTTCCCTTTCTGCTTTCTGCAGTTTCTTTTTAAAAAAGCACTGCTTTTATATGGACGGCTTGGTTTGAGTATTGGCAGTAGAGGAGAGGGCCAACTTAGAGCAGGAATTCTTAACATTGGCTCACCAAACCCTTGGAATTGTGTGCAAAATCTTGGGCTTATATGTGCATTTTTCTGGGCCAGGAGTTCTTAACTTTAATCAGAGTTTCATGAGGGTCCTGACTCAAGTGAGGTGAAGACATTTCGATTTAGATTAGAGAGAAGTTGGGGGATAGGGTGCAGAAATCCGCCTTTCCAAGCACCCAGGTCATTTCAGATGTGAGGTGGGACAGCCATATGTTGAGAATGCCTTAGTGGGTTCCCTAGGTGAGGATCCCTGGCCCTGCCATTCCCCTCTGCCTCTACGCCTAGCACAATGCCGGGCCCTTGGTGGAGGCCCCGGGCAATGGTAAGTGGTGTTTTCCCGCCTTGGGTGGTGGGTTGTGGGTGCACACCAGTCGGATCAGAACGAGCCTGTGTTTCGCCTCACCTCGGTGTCCCTTCTTGTCTCCCGTGCGGCGGCCCAGGTTAAGGTGTGGTTCCAGAACCGGAGGATGAAGTGGCGGCACTCCAAGGAGGCCCAGGCCCAAAAGGACAAGGACAAGGAGGCCGGCGAGAAGCCTTCAAGTGGAGCCGCGGCTGCGGATGGTGAACGGGATGAGAGGAGCCCCAGCCGCTCCGAAGGCGAGGCTGAGAGCGAGAGCAGCGACTCTGAGTCCCTGGACATGGTCCCTAGCGACACGGAGAGGACTGAGGGGGCTGAGCGGTCTCTGCACCAAACAATAGTTATTAAGCCCCCGGCCACCAGCGTCCTCGTCACCGCCGGCAGTGGGGGGAGTGGTGGGAGCAGCGCCGGCGGCAGCAGTTTTAGCTTCAGCTGCGGCAGCAGCCTCAGTACCAGCAGCACGAGCGCGGGGAGCGCCAGCAGCCTCGGCGGCGGCAGCAGCGGCGGCACCTCGGAGCTGCTCCCTGCGCCCCAGCCCACAGCCATGAGCGCTCCCATGAGCCCTGAGCCCGCTCCAGCCCTGCCTGGCGGCTTATAGGCTAGACTAGGGCGGAGTAGCCCTGGGCCCTGCGCGCAGCCTCCTGTCCGCGGGTGGATTTTTTGCCTATTTTATTTTGGCGGCTGGGCCAGGGCCTGGGACGTAGCGGGGAGCGTCTTTCCCGATATTCACACGTTGCCCCTCGCCCCTCGCCCCTCGCCCATCGACTCCCTGGCTGGCTGCAGCCGGTACGACCCAGAGCGAAGGGGACTCTGTGTCCCCTTGCCAAAGGCTCCCATCGCCAGTCGAACACTTTTCCTTGGATACAAGCAGCTCCGCTTGCACTGTGAAGTGTTAGAGGAAACCATACCTCTCCGCACTTGGGATTGTGGTGCAAAGGGGTGCTGCACTTAGGAAGCCTTAAACTTGTAAATAAAATGTATATTACAATTTGTAAAGGCTGCCTGCCTTGCTAGGGGTGATGCGTTTGGATTGATCCTTATGGCTCAAGACCTCCAACCTGGGACCTTAGCCCGGAGCATTGCAGAGCAGCAGCTGGAGGTGGGGGCTAGAGCTTTGAGGGAAAGTGGCTCAACCTCAGAACCACCTTTCCGCAGTGATTGGCGGCGGCAGGGCTTAGAGGTTTCATTTAGTCCAGAGGTCACTTAGCCAGCACCAACCGCCTCAGGTCACCGGCTCTGCAACCCCGTACGTGGCCTGAAAGCAGAGTTAGGCCATAGAATTCCTTAGGCCCATGCAGCAGACGGTTTCCCCCTCCGGAGTCTGGATGCAATGAGTGTCCCCTTCTTGACACCAGATTATGCAGAGTTACAGTGGACTTAATCAGGCACAGCCATACTCAGTAGGTGGCTGCTCAGTGCCAGGCCCACGACTGTGGGGCCTTCGCAATGCAAACCTCCCCTTGCTCAAGGATGGGGTAGAGGCACCAGGTCTGTAACGCTGTGCAAGAAGGGACAAGTATATCACAGTAGTTAGGGCTGGAAGCCTGGGTCTTAGAGTGCTGGCGTCCTGGCTTTAAAGACATCAAAATAATTGTACTGTGGGGAGGTGCCCTGTTCAAGGTTAAGCAGAGGCAGAGCGCAAATCAGAACGGTGACCTCCTAACCCCACATTTGGCCAGGGATGGATTTAGAACTGCACTCCCCTCCCCACACAAAAATCTTCCTTTGCAGTTGGCCACTGGAGGCACCCAGTAGAGCTCTTTTCCCCTCAAGCCTCAGGAGTTGAGGGCAGCTTTCCCATCCCACCGAGGCTGGAAAACAGTAAATCTGTTTTGTCTTGATGCTGCTACTAGGAGGGGCCATTTAAAGTGTTTCTTTGTTGTTGTTCTTGTTTTTAAGCTGGTCAAACCTTTCTTTGAGACCTGTCCTCCCCACTCTTCTTCCCTCTAAACTAAGAAATGTCCAGAATTGGTAAATGCTCTTTTAGGAAATTTAAAAACAGATGTCAGAACCCTGAGCAGCCAGATCTATTTGGCACTGACTGTAGGGAGGGCACAAGGCTTCTCAAAGACCCAGCATCCATGTCTGGGAGCCAGTTCTCAGGTAGAAGGAGCTGTGGAGAGATGATGAGGTAGAGCAGTGGTCCCCAACCTTTTTGGCACCAGGGACCAGTTTCATGGAAGACAATTTTTCCATGGACGGGATGGGGAGATATTGAGCAATGGGGAGCAGCTGTAAATACAGGGAACCTAGGCTGCACCCCAGTCCTCTGACCAGAGTGAGAAGGTTCCTAGCAGCTCCTCAATCTTGCTTATCTTCTTCTCCACTTTGACTCATTCCCCTGGCTCATTCCAGGACCTCTGTTCTAGTCTTTATGAGCAGGGAAGGGGGCAGATTTAGCCTTCCCTGGAGGGCTGCAGCCAGATGCCTAAGCAGGTCCCAGCCCCAGCACAAGGATGCTAGGATCACCATTTCCTGCCTCAGCCCACCTCCCAAGACCCCAAATCAAGCCGGGCCCCTAGAGGAAACAGCACTGAAGAGCGGGGAGGAAGAGACTAAGGAGTAGGGAAGAGAAAAGAAAGGACCCCACAAAGGGCCCCAACTTCAATAGGAAGACGAGCTGGCTGTTAGCCCTAATTGTGCCACAAGAGTTTCAGGGCCAGGGCAGCCTCCCCACCTGCCATGGGCTCCAGGCAGTGCCTGGGATAGTTCCTTCAAGCCTTCCACAGGCTGTGCTCCCCAACTGCCGGATTCTCTCTGTACCTCAATTTTGCTCTCATTATCGACATTCGTTTCCTCTGACTTCCCAAATAGTGAAATTGTGGAACTAGTAGTACATCCCAAAACCTCGAATTTGGGGGCACATAAATTCAATTCTGGCGTTAAAGAGAATAACGTGGAGGCATGTACGCCTAGCTGAGAAGTGGAGGGGTGCTGGGGAAGAGAGGCGGGGAGGGGTTGGTGCTTTTTGTAGACGGTGCTGGCGTTTACCCCGGGCCTCGCAGGGCCCTCAGCGTTCCTGTTGCTGCCAAACTCTGGCTGCATTTCTTCACTGAGGTCCCTGGAGCTTGGAAAGTGAAGGAAACCATCACCTGGGGAATGTAAGGATATGACTTCAAATAGAATTCGGCCTTATCTCAGCCAGATTTCTACAGGCCTGGGGCCCACACGGAGCTGGAGGCCTGAGGACCTAGTGAGCATGGCGGTGGACACCTGGGGGCAGGAGTCGGAAGATGGAACACTCATCTCCGGCTCGAAGTAGGCACCCCTGTCTTCGCCACCCACCCCTAGTTCCTGGACCTTTATCCCGTGAAACTCGTCCAAGGCTTTGCCCTGGGCAAAGTGTGGAGTGTTTCCACATTTTAATCCGAAAGGGAATATCACAAGCCCCGGAGAAGTTTCAAGTACATTTGGAAGAAGAACAGCCGCAGGTGGCCGGGAAGAAAGGCCGCACTTCCCGCAGCTAGCCACATCCCGGAGCTTCTTGCTCGACCCCAGGTACTGGAATCTTCCTGGTGGGGCTTGATGCTCCCAAGAGCGGCCGGGCAGCTCGAAATTCTTCGGCCAACACCGAGAGTTTTCAGACACGGAAGAGAAGGCCGAGCGCGGGAGGTCGGTAGGCACCAGACCCGCCCCGAGCCTCGGCTTCGAGGACCGGTGCTCACGGCCCCCGTCCCTCCCGCACACCGCCGCAACCTTCGCTCGGAGCAGAGGTTAGCCTGGCCCGCCGCCGGAGTCCCCTCCGAGCCCACCGCGCAAGGCGCACAGAGGCACGCAAGAGAGATGGCGACCGGGACGCGTTTTGCTTCAGGGGGTGGGGAGAGGGACTCCGTAGCCCCCTCCCCGTGCACTCACTCGCATAGACACACGCAGAGACACACAGACAAGCAGACTCCTACAGACACGTGACAGACAGGCAGGCTACTGGCTATTGCAGCACTTTGTGGGTAAAACCACGCAAATAAATTTCCCCGTTCTCCTTCGTAGGGCAAAGCACAGTAAGGAGCCTCACGCTGCCCCATTCTGCCTGAGGGGGTGGCTGGGGCGCTCATCTCAGTGGAACAGTTTGCAGAGCCAAGTTCCGCGGACCCAACAGCTGAAAGCCGGTGCGGCATTCGCCTGCTTTCGTGCGCTTCAGCCGAGAGAGGGTAGAGACCTCGACTGCAGGGAGCGTGTCGCCCTCGCTGCCCAGTCCCACTAAGGGCGAAGCCGTCAGGAGGTTGCAGTGGGCGCGGAGCAGGCGAAGCTAACAGTACCCGGCACGTCCGGGCTTCCTCTTCCACGCACCAGAGGCCAGAGTGACCCGAGAATCCACCTGGATTCTACGCGGGAACTTCGGGGTCTGAAGAGGGGCGGAGCAGGGACCGGGCCCGCAGCAGGGGGTTTTCTGCTGGCATTTTAAGACTTAAACCTTAATCTGTTGAGCTTTGACCTACTCCTGAATCCCACCCTACGTCTCCTCAAGCCAACGCCAACTCAGACTCCCGATCGGCGGGACCGGCCGGGCCTGGGACGGCTCTAGAACAAGAAATGGCGCGGAGGAGAAGCCAGAGGCTGAGGTCGACACACCCTCCTCCCGTTTGCCTGCGCCCCAGTCTTCCTGCGAGCTTTCTCTTCGTTTAAGAAGGAAGAGCAGGCAGAGGGACTTTCGCGTTCAGCCCTCGCCATAGGATGAAGTGATACTGCTTTACAGATGGCCGAGAAGACCCTAAACACGGAGGGAAATAGCATCCCCCTTTCTCCAGCCTCTTGGGGGCGGCGAGGCATTGCACATATTCTGTGGTCTTTGTGAAGATGCAAGAATTCGGTTCTAAGAAGGACTTGAACTGCAGGTTTTCTGGCTCTGGGAGATTAAAAGAAAAGAAAAGAAAAGAAAAGAAATCGATTTAATAGTGCTCTAGCACACGTCTAGCTTGCAGCCACCATCCTCGAGGTTGTGATGGCACTGGCCGGCTTTCAAAGACCAACTAATGGCCTTCGCTGGGGTTTCTCTTCACACACCAGGATATTAAAGCCCGCATCGCCTATCCCCTGCCACGGGACATCTTGGGGATCCCGACTGCTTACACAGTGCGGGGTGCACGTTCTAAGATGTTCCTCCACCCCCTTGGGCTCTAACGGAGCAGGAGGTTCCGCGGGATCCCTAGGACAGGCAAGGTCGTCGCAGAGCCTCTGGCTCTTGGGTCCCTTCTCTGCCCCTGCCCTCTGTCATTTTAGAAACCAGGTGCGATTACTCCCAACGCCCTCATTTTAGGGATGAGGCAACGGAGGCCCAGGGACCCCAGGACGCTTGCCCAAGATTCCCTGGAGAGTGAGTGCCAGACCCCCCGTGGGTCTTGGGTTCAGTTCCTCCTGCAGTAAGCAAGAACGTGAGAGGTGCTACCCAACACATCTGACAAACCGATTCTGACCTGAATTATTGGTGGATTTTTAAAAAGAGCATAAGAGACACAGACAATCGGTGCTGGGATTATGGACTCCTATGAGCCCCTCCTCTTCCCCTTGGTGGTTCCAGAGGGATGTCCCTCTGGAAGTCGCAGGCCTGGGCCACCTCCAGGTTGACATCCCACCCTCCCCCCTGCACTGCCTCAGTAACAAGTGTAGCTTTCTTAATAACATCTAGGGCTCTGGCCACACCCTGCTTGAGGAAGGAGGTGATTGTCCGTGGTGCTTGGGATTCTGGGCAGAATGCTAAGCTTGAGGCCCAAGCAGCCGCTGCGCTGGCTGGCTTCTTCTCTCTTCCCCTAGCCTCAGACTCCGCCCGAGCCACCGCAGATATCAAGCCTCATTCTCTCGCACAGTCCACCGCTTGAGACAGGCAAGGAACCAGAGGGAGAGGCCACAGAGGCGGCAGCAGCGACACCTGATGCATTCTCATAGCTCGGGGCTCTGGGTGATCTACAGCGAGTCTCTGGGTGCCGGGAGGTATGGGAAGA